TCTCCATGTCGCCTGAGCTATTCGAGAAGCTGTATCTGTCGCCACAGAATAATGTAAAGGGGGATCTGCGCAAGACCTTTGGTAACCCGACTCCGATGTAAGATAACCTAATACCTTGGTCCATGAACATGGGTGAAGGCGTGTTGGCTAACGCTTTTACAGCGCCATTGTTGGATTCCTCATCTCATTGACGCCTCTTGCTTGTGACTTGATGGGTTGGAGAGGAGCAGGCGGAAGCGGTGCGGCAGGCATGTAAGTCATCCCACAACACTCCCTTCTCATCAAGACGCCTCTCAAACTCACATGTCTTCCTTCACAGCGGCTCATACTTCTTCTTCGGCGGTCTCCTCATGTTCGTAGGCGGCCTCCTCGAATGGGTCCTCGGCAACACCTTCCCCTCCGTCGTCTTCCTTACCTTCTCCTCGTTCTGGTTCACCTTTGGTGCGACGCTGAACCCTTCCTTTGCCGCCTTCTCGTCATATGCTCCCGCGAACGCGACGTCTGGGGCCGAGGGGCTGACGACGCAAGGTTTCAATGCTAGTTTCGGTCAGTCACTCACTACCTCTTACCCTTCTCCCATATCACTTTGGATTCAAACTGACACGGTGTCAATGAACAGGCTTCATCACCCTCGCGATGGGTATGATCTGTGTTGTCTTCCTCATCTGCTCGCTCCGCACCAACATCGTCTTCTTCCTCATCTTCTTGACGCTCGTTGCTGCTTTCGGGTTGATTACGGCCGCGTATTGGTTCCTTGCCATGGATTATACTAGCAATGCTGCTTACGCCGCAAAATTGCTCCAGGTACGTCTTGGGAGCATGAGAGGTGTTGAGAAGTAAACAGTACTGATACCATCTTTGCAGGCTGCCGGTGCTTGCGCCTTCGTCACTTGTGCCGCTGGCTGGTGGCTCATCTTCGCCATCCTCTTAGCTTCGCTCGACTTCCCCTTGGAGCTTCCTGTTGGAGACCTGAGCAGAGTGATTCGGGGCAAGAGTGAAAAGAGCCAAGTTTGAAGGATCTTGCGCAAAATTATGGCAAGAATCGTTTCAGGATGTACGGGTGCTGGCGCAGGAGAGCAAAGTTGTGTTAGTCCTTGAAGTTATCTTGTCGTCAATATCTAAGCATGGAGGATGGCGAAGGCCACACTCTGATGTTTTGAGTCACATGTGATACAATCTTCACGCGTGGAACAGCTGTAGTAATGCATACCAAATATCTTATCTGTGCTAGAAATCCACTTTGTCGGTTTCCAGTGCCCTGGTCTTGACTTTATGCGTAACGAAGACTGTAATTTACGTCTAGCCCTCTCCGCATTCTTCAGCACGACCCAGAAATGAATTCAAGAGCAACATCAGGGATTTTCTGGATGGTCGTAAGCAAATCTCCGCTTCATGTAACCCTCGTCCTCCTTGTTGCTTGATGCTGAGCTTAGTCTTCCCATCCCTCAGCTGCCAGTTCGTTAGAACCCTCACTCAACTCTCTCCAGTAGCTGTGGGGAATCTCGTCGAGCAAGTCCAGTCCGAATTCAGGCGTGCTTCTTCGTAGTGCCTTGAACCTCGTACCGGTATCGATCCAAGTCATGTTGGCGAGGAAGTACTGCGAGATAAGCCTCCGTAATGAGTCCCCATGGACTGTCCATGCATAGATGATAGGCACGGATTCGAAAAGTATAGTCTTTAGTTGGAAGGTCCCGGGACACTCCGATAGGAAATGTCGGATCCTAGCCAGGCATATCTCCTTGAGATCTTCGATGGTGTACTTGTCAGCGAGAAAGTAAAGCTGGACGTGGTGCATGTACATTGGCCTCAGGTGTTCAACATCCCGGCAAGCCTTCTCGAACGCCTCAATGCCGGTAAACTTCCTCAGAATAGACTGAGTCTGGTCCATAGGCGATGGCTTCTCATCGCGGCCCTTCCCATGGAAAAACTTGTCATTTACAAAGTGGTGTTGCGAGCCTGTGTGTTCGGTAGCCCAGAAGTATCCCTGCATTGAACGGGGCAAGTTCTTGGGGGCGTCGCCTTCTTCAGGTGCCTCATTCTCCTCAGAAAATGTAGGCGCAGCTTTGGATTCCGGCAGTGAATAGTCACCTTGGTAGGCGTATTGTGTCAGCAGGACGAAAGTGATTGGGTCAGTATCGTCCCAGATGACCTTGCCCTCCCTGGACTCTTGAAAGCCTCCCGTCAGGAGGGCGCGTAGGGGCGGCGAAAGATTGGCGAAGGGGGCTTCATGAACGGTGTACTCTTTCTTCTCCGGACCGACGATGAACTTGATGTCCCTGGACTGCATTACTCTTGGCCATATGTTAGCAAGACTAGATTGAAGCGGGAGGTGGTGGGGTTGCATGTACTCATCCAAGTTCTCGAACGTGTCAAATCGTTTCCGTTTGCCAAGCATATCTGCGATGCGAGGTGTACTTCGCAATGTTTGTTGGCGTTTGCGAAGGATACTTGATAAATTTGGCGAGTATGAGATAGGAATAGCAGCGATCTATTTTTGCTCAAGAAGCCTCCTGCTGCACAAAGGTTGCTGGCCGGGAGTTCAGGTTGGCGAGTGGAGGTTTGCAACAGGAGGGTGCAGCGTGGGCGTGGCTGAACGATTTAAAATCTTGATTCCGGCTCCTTCTCTTTTGAGAGGCGAAAAAAAGATGACTGGGTCAATAGAAGCTACCGTGGGTGAAAACCTCAGTAGCTCCTTCTCAGATGTCTTCCATTGCGGAATACAACTAATAACATCAAGTTACCAAGCAAGGCAGTACGATGCCCAGGTGGACTTAATCCACTCCTGTCGGTAACACTGGTAACATCCAAAAATCTTTTTCAAAGCCCAAGATCTCAGAATTTAAACTACTGTTACTACTTAAGACCTTTGACTTTCAAGATGCGTAGCTTTACCTTGCCTTGGCCCTTCAAAGAGGAAGTACTCGATTGTTCAATTGTCAAGGACATGGCTCGCTTTGCCCGGAGCGATCAGATAAAGAAGGGTCTTGTAGCTGGTGTTTGGCTGATAATTATTTTGGCAAAAGAATATTCCATAAAAGGCTCCCTTCAAGGAGTTATCTTTTCTTGTTTTGCTACTCCAACAAATGCAACGGGCCGGCCCGCATAAGTCTTTGTTGTTGAACGCCCTCCTGAGCGAATATTACTGTACAAATACTCCCTGAACCTCTTACTCGGATGATTACTGAACATTTTCGACGCCGCAGGTAAGACTCGGCCGAGAAGTTTCGATTTCCAGAGCCGATTCAGGTAAACGTCCGTGCCTGCGGCGACATGCCGGCGTTCGGATCTGCCCCACAGATCTACAAACGGTGGAAGCCAAGTCCGTTAATATAGAATGGCGGGGGGAGTGCGTGGCATCGCCGAGAGCCGCAAAATGTCGACGTTCCCACATGGCCGACTTGCCAGAAAGTCAGGAGAACCCCCTGATTCATCATGTATATAAATCGTCTTCGTAGCCAAGGATTCATGACCCGGCAGCTCACTACTGATGACACTTATTCTTGGCCATATCTTCAGCTATGTCTCTCCTCGCTAAGGCCGTTGTCATTGCTAGCACTTTGCCTGCTCTCGTGCAAGGCAGCAAGATCTCTCTCGCTAACCGACAGACCCTCAACACCACTTGCGCTGACATCCACTACTTTGAAGCCCGAGGCACAACTTTGTCATATCCCGGAAGCTTGATCACGGTCATTAACCCGCTCATGGAGGCTTTTCCTAACAGCAATTACGAGGATATTGTTTACCCAGCCACGGACGAGTCTGGGAGTGACAGCTACTTTGTTGGAGTTCGCGATGGCGCCAAGCAGATCATCTCTTATGCAGAGGCTTGCCCCGAATCCAAGATCGTCTTGATGGGATATTCTCAGGGCGCCATGGTTCTTGGAGATATCCTGGCTGGCGGTGGTGATGGCAATGTCCTGGGCAACTACACCAAGCCTCTGGTTGATGCTCGCACTGTTGGAGACCACAGTAAGGCTAACTATAGATTTTGGGTTAAGAGTTACCTGCTGACATCGTTGTCCAGTCGCGGCGATCTTGCTGTACGGCAACCCCCGACACATGCCGAATCAGACCTACAATGTTGGCAACGCTTCTACGTTTGGTGCCACCGGCGTAAGTTTCAACCTCGTTGGAAAAAGCTTTGAATGGTTATCGTGACTAACGCTGTCCGCAGAAATACCCTCGTACCGCTGGACAACTTGCTTCCTTCAACGTCTACGCCGACAGAGTCCACGACTACTGTAATTACCAGGACGGAGTCTGCGATGCTAGCGGCAGCAACCTCACCGCGCACATGGAGTATCCGTCGGATTACGACACCCAAGCAGTTGCCTGGTTGGAGTCTAAACTCCAGTGATGCTGAGAAGCATTCCAGACTTTGCTGAAATCTCATCCATTTGAGTATAGGGGATGCCCAGAAGCCGCCTGTCACTTACCGAAAACTCAAAAGTGAAAAATAGGCAGCAGCCGGAAATTCTTCTGGTCCTCGAAACATGTTATTCTGAAGAGTTCATAGCTTGTTATAAACAAACCAAAGTTATAGAGGCTGATGATTAAAGTCTAAGACCGAATATGTAAGTGATGGTCGAAGATATTTTCGAGTTCTGTAGTTTTTGCTCCGGATCATTCATATACACCAGATAAAGCTCAATTGAAAATCGCCGAGCCCGTCTGTTTCACATGGTCTGCGATACAGCAGGAATTTATGAGTGTGGTGAAGCCCGAAGTAAATCCCACATGGAAGGGAGGCAGGCCCCAAAATATTTCACGTTCCTTCCAAATCCCAACTTCCACCACCTCCCTCAAAAGTCGGTTCACTCTCTCGCTTGCCTTCCCTCACCCAACCCTCGATTCACGCAACCACAATATTCCTTGAAATTCATCAGTCTCAAGCTTCTTCAAATCATTTTTTCTTCCCTCACCTCCAGCCCCCCAACTTTTCTTCCGCCTCAACGAGCTCGTCACCGAGCTTTAGCTCTGCAACAACATCGATCCCCACAATGTCGCTGAAGCGCAAGCGTGACATGAACCAGTTGGGTTTCCTTCACTTGGACGTGTTTAAACCAAGTAAAGCTGACATGAGACTCTAGGATCTTTCGATCTAGGACAATTACGTTCATCATCGGCAAAGATAGGACCGAATACACAGGCCACGAATCCGCATTCTTAGCCATGTCCCAATCTTTCAAAGATTTCATCAGACGAAAGATAAGGACTTCATTCAAATTAGCCAGCATAAACCAAGTCGGGAGTGTCTCATATTGCGTGGATTGGGAAGATATTGAGCCGGCTAGCTTTGTCAATTTGATGGAGTACGCCTACTCCGGCGACTACACGGTGCCTGCCCTGTCCAAGTCCAAGACGGAAGACACCTCCAACACAGTCAAGGGGGGCCACAGCAGCCATGACACACCTGGTACAAAGTGCGATGATGGCGACGTTAACGCCAACATACCAGCCAGTATAAGACCGTCGACAGCGAAGAGACTTGTGCCCCTGCGTCTCGGGATGGGGCCTACTCGTACTCGACGAAATGCCCCGCAGCCTGAAATATCATCCCTGTACACGTGGATCAGGAACGTCTCTCAAGACCCGCAGTGTCAGCAACATACAAGCGCTCAGTATAAGTTCTGCGAGGAACACTTTCCCATTCCCTTTGAAGCGACCGAGTCGACTACTGAAGACTGGCTCGAGGACATCAAGTTACAACACCAGACAGGCTACAAGGAAGTCTTCCTCGCACATGCGAAGCTTTATCTCACTGCAGACCAATTCGAGATTATTGAACTCAAAAGACTCTGCTTGCACAAGCTTCGCCAGAGTTTGTTGCATGCCCCAGGCACTGACGAGATGCTGCGAGCCACGACCGATACGATTAGGCACATTTACTCGAATACCACATCCCGAGATGATGATCTCAGAAAATTGCTTCTGCAATTCTGTCTCACCGACATGGAGTGGATGATGAGGGACAAGGATCTGGAACCAGTGCTGGAGAGTGTCCCTGGTTTCGCTATTGACCTATTTCGCGAGATTCCTCATGATTACTGGAGAGAGATCGGAGATGGGGGGGCTGCCTGCGAAGAATGAGCGAGTGTATGGGGAACAGAACACGATTGATGGTGTATTCCCGAGAAAGGGGTCGCGCGTGCCTCGCTATCATGACGAAGTTCTCATCGTGGTCAATGTTGAAAATCCGCAAGGCAAAGTTGTTTGACCTCGGGAAATGTATTTCTCAGGGTGCGGTATATTCAGGAAGAGGTACGGCGATGAAAGTTTGTATGAGCAGTTTCAAGTCGACACGAAACATGCTACCAGAACTTGAATGGAAATTGCATGGACGGTCCATAGCGAAGTAATACCTTGCGTCTGCTTTCTGAGTTGAAGTCGGACATGGGAGCTGATTGATGACTAACACGATGTGGCTGATTAGCCTGTCACAAAACAGACAGGACAGAAATGAGCCACACCCCGCCGGACCCACCAGCTAGCAACGGAAACAGAGGTTGAATGTAAACAAACGCGATCGGGATGGCCAATACGGTTTGGTGTCTGCCGCACCAAACTCCAATCTTTTGGTTTGCTCAACTCCGATTCTGTTGCTACACTCCCGCAACCGACAATTGAAAAACATTGCTCCCCTCCATATTTTCTTTCGACCATTCCTACTTTTCGAAGACCGACGCGACCACAGCTCAACCTCTTGTGACCCGATGCATTCTAGTCGCGAATAATATTTCCTCCCTGCGATCGACGCGTCCGTCCTGTACCTCTCTCTTGCGCAGCAGTTCGCGCTCCGGATCGCGACCAGCTTTACCTTGCACAATTCCTGAGCTTCACAGGTGCTACACCGCCCAGAGATAGCCCAGCATGACAGAAAACTTGGCCTTTGAGGGTCTAGTCCCGAATGAATACTTCACACTGGATGGCCGATTGGGCTCCTTTCATCAAGTCTACCCTGCACCAAAGCGTCGTCAATCAGGCGCGACCAAAGGCGGCAAAAACCTTACATGGCCGCACATGAAATACTTGCTGCCAGAAGATGTATGTCTGCAGTCAGAAAAGCTTAGCAAAAGACGACGCGTGTGCTAACTTGCCGCAGCTCGCGAAAGCAGGTTTCGTCTGGCGGCCGTTCCCCGAAAACCCCGATAACGTCGCATGTTTCCTCTGCAACAAATCTCTCGATGGCTGGGAAGAGGGTGATAAGCCCCTTGAAGAGCACTTGAAGCACTCTCCCGAATGCGGGTGGGCTATTGTCGCGGGTATCGAAGCCAACCTCAACGGTCTGTCATCCGAAGACCCTTCTAGTACTCGAATGATCGCGGCCAGAAAGGCGACTTTTGACGGCCGTTGGCCACACGAGGGAAAGAGGGGCTGGAAGAACAAGATCAAACAGGTCAGTCATGGAACTTCGACCCGACCTTCCTCTGCTGACTAGCTCTTAGCTCGCCGAAGCAGGATGGAAATACACGCCTTCCCTCGAGTACAATGATATGGCAACCTGCACCTACTGCGAGCTTGCTCTGGACGGTTGGGAACCAAACGACAAGCCCATGTACGTCCCCTAAGTGTTGCGTTCGCAAGCATTATCTGACCCAATTACAGGGATGAACACTTCAACCGATCCCCCAACTGCCCGTACTTCGCTTTAGTAAATCAATACGCTTCCACGAGAAAGCCGAAGGGCAAGGCCGCCCGAGGCTCAAAGAACACGTCGAGACTATCCGTACAGTCAGTCGCGACATCGATTTCCGATATCACATCCATAACAGACGTCCCTGCGGAGTTCGATGACAGTGTCTTGACAACAGCCTCCACAATGGGCGGCAAGAAAGGTACCCGTGCCAAAAAGGCCACCACGACAAAAGGCAGAAAGACCAAGGCAAAGAAGGATGAGCCTGTAGAAGTTGTCGAGGATGAGGCCATGCCGGAAGAAGACAAAGGGCTACCCCCATCGAAACCTACCCGAGGGCGCAAGCGCACGAGCGACGACGTGGATGATTCGGCGCTCACAGTCTCTGAGGCACCTGCACCAAAGAAGCGTGGAGGACGCGGTCGGCCCAAAGCTGCCGCTGACAGCTCGACCATCGATCAATCACAACAGGACATCAGCATTGCGGATGCGCCGCCGCCGACGAAGGCACCAAAAGGCCGCAAGACTGCACGTGCGTCTGGAACGAAGGGAACACGGAAAGCCTCGGGGACCTCACAAAGGTCAAACGCATCAATGGCGTCCCTGCGAACTGCACCCGGCGCATTCCCCGAGGATGACGATGAGATTACCAGGCAGCTTGAGGCTGACCTGGAGCGTCCGCTGACGGACGATGAAGATATCATGCAAGATTCCGATTCAGAACGAAAGAAAGCTCCTGCCCCCAAGGCAAAGTCAAAGAAGAACCAATCGGACAAGGAGTCTGGTGTCAGCCCTGAGCCGTCAGACAACCACGAGATGTTCGACGCGGAACCGTACGTGGCAGACGAAAAGGATGTTGACGACGAATTGAAGCAACTGGAGGCCGAAATGACTATCGATGAGCCTGAGGTTCTGGAAGTTCCCAAAAAGGGGCGCAAGGCTGCAGCTCCCCGCAAGGTGTCTAAGCAGACCAAGGCTCAGAAGGCCAATGCCGCGAAAGTGGTCGTCGAAGAAGACGAGCTAGTGGTTCCAGCAGAACCCAGCCGCCTCGAACAGCCTGCTGATATCGAAGAGGATGAGATCAGCACTGCCACGGTGATCACGACAAAGCCTGCTCGCGCAAGCACTGGGAGGAAACGGGGACGCCCTTCAAAGGCGTCATTGGCGGCGCGTGCATCTATGGAAAGCGCTGGCAAGGTTGAAGAGATAGAAGCTATCGAGCCGGAGGCTGCAGCCGCTACTGCTGAAGTTGAGCCGGAACCTGAAGCCCAGGCTGAGCCTGATGCTGAGATCGAGACTGAAGCCGAGGACACGTCAGCGCGTCAGTCTTTTGCTTCGGCACGGCAAACGCCCGCACCAGTGGAGCTTCAAGACGAGCCTGAAGAGGAACACGAGGAGCTGGAGGAACCAGAGCAAGAGCTCCCCGATGAGCTTGCAGACGAGCCGGAAGAGGAAGAAGAGTCCGAGTTGGAGCAAGTAGACGAGCTTGGGCCTGAGCCTGAGTCTGAGGCACCTGAGCCCACACCAAGGAGCGCACTGAAGACGAGCTCCCCGCCACCGCTATCATCGCCTGTTCTCACCTCATCTGCCCGCCGGAGTGTGCAACATCAATCAGGTACTCCACGTATCTCTCCTGCCCAGTCAGCTCGCCAAGCGGCTGTTTCGCCCTCGCCATCTCCGCAGTCTTCAGATGCCGAGAACCAGCCTCCGTCTTCAAGACCTTCCACAACTCAAAAGCGGGTGACACATGCGCCTATTTCATCAACCCCAGCAAGACCTAACTCGCCAACCAAGCGCAAAGCTTTGGCAAGTCTTCAAAGCATCACGCCCTGGAACCCCGTCGATATTGACCTCGTCTTCGGATCCCCTGAAAAGTCGGACAAGAGGAACGCAGTCGACAGGCTCCTGCATAAAGGCAGCGAGCTGACAAGCCCTGAGATGCGCATGACAGTGGAGGAGTGGATTCACCACAACGCCAACCAGGCTGAGTCGAAGCTGCGACAAGAGTGCGAGGCTATGGTTAGCAGGTTCGAGAGCGAGGGGAGCAAGGCAATGAACGTCTTGGAGGGCTTGATTGTAGACTGAGTGTTTGCATAGCGTAGTTTCGTTGGGAGCACCATTCAAGGGTTAATGATTGGACTATGATCATGATACAACAACAGACAACTAGTGTGTGCGCTTATCAACAGGCCCAGTCGGCCGTTGGTAATTGGATTTGTGCAAGGCAGCAAGGTTGAATAATGACACTTTCGACCACGTTGGGAACAGAAGAGGCAATGATTGGCTCTTGAGCATTTGCACACAAAAGGAGAACTGCAAAGGGGAAGCGTATTGTTCTGACAGGCAATTGCCATTATTATTATTGATTTTTAAATAATGAGGGTGTTTGATCTAATCTATGTTCATTAAGAAATCCCCTCTTGAAAATTGTTGTTTGGAATGTTTCCTCATTCGTCTAATTCATGATCCCAGTGGTATCGTTTCCGGCATGTCAATGTTTCATTACTTGCTCGCTGCACCCACTACTGTCCTTCACTTCGTTTTGATGTTGTTTCTTCTTCAACACTATCGTGTCGTCATCTCCATGATGAGTATGATCTAGGTGCAGTGCTGAACGCCGTCAGCGTGAGTGTGGCACTCCTGAGGAGCGCTGGAGGTCGCAGCGGCAGTGGTGGTAGCGGCGCCAGCAGCAGCGGTAGTCGTAGGCGTGGCCTCGTGGTCGTGGTCCTCCTCAAGCTCGCCGGGGCATCCGACGCCAGGGGCAGCGATATCGTAAGCCCAAACGTCAATGGCGAAGTACTGCAGCGCGTCGCTGTCGAAGACGGAGTAGGTGGCGTTGTTCTTTGCGAGCTCGAGGGCCTCGGCGTAGTCTTCGGCGTAGTGCTCGACGGCGCCCTCGGAGATGAGGGGAACGTGGAAGACGCGGTGGAGGAGGTCGGTAGCCCAGAAGGTGTTGAGCTTGGAGTTGGCGACGTTGTAGCCCAGGCCGCAGACGGAAGTCAGGGGGCGGCGGATTTCAAAGGAGAGAGGGCAGATGACGGTCTCCTGGGAGGCGTTGGCGCCGCGCCAGTGGCCCGCCCAGCCGGACTGGGTGGCGCAGTTGCGGTCCGGGTCGTCGCAGCGGAAGGTCATGCCGTTCTTGTCTGCGTTGACGACGCGGTCGTACCAGCCGACGGGGGTGGCGGTGGACGAGTTGCCAAAGTACTTGCGGACGTGCTCGGAGCTGTTGCCGAAGCGGAGGATGTGGTCGCGGGCGTGGGCGGCGAGCTGCTGGGCCTCGGCGAGGCCGACCTCGAGCTGGGCGCGGAGGGTCGAGTTGCAGGACTGGTGGATGGGGAAGGTCTTTTGCCAGCCGGCGGACCAGTCGTAGGGGACTTGCGGGGTGGAGGCCGGGGCCGCCGGGACGGAGACGGTCTCGGAGGTGGAGGTGGCCTGGCGGCGCGCGAGGGGAGTCGCG